ACAACTTTAAAGGCGATTTTCTCAATATTTTGATTTCTTTGCACCCTCAGATTCCAAATATTCAAATAGTTGTATCTCGACCAAATATTGCCCTATCTTAACAAACCATACATCAATGGAAAGCTCATTTATTCAGCATAATGGTTTTGTGCTCCAGGGTCACATATGGTAGAAAAGAGTCAGAACTGGAGTGTTTGGCGATCATGATTCTGACGTTACGCTTACGTTACCTTCCTCCTCTGGTGTTTGAAGCTGTTCCTCCTCTTGCGATGGATCACTCTGATGCTGTACAGAGCGCCGAACAGCAGAAGAGCTCCAGCTATTCCAATCCCGACCGGAGCCAACATCCCCGACACATAACCAGCCTACGAGAGACCAGCGGAGAGCTTCAGTCTTTCTGAAAGAGTCTCTTCTGCTCACCTGGACTGCATTTATTTGATAAAAAATACAGTAAAAATTGTGAAATAGTTTTGTAATTTAAAACAGCTGTTTTTTATGTGAATCTCTGTTAAACTGTAATTTATTTCTGTGATGCACAGCTGTATTTTCAGCATCATTACTCCAGTCTTCAGTGTCACATGATCTTCAGAAATCATTCTAATATGCTGATTTGCTGCTCAAGAAACATTTCTGATTATTATCAATGTTGAAAACAGTTAATATCTTTGTGGAAACCGTGATACATTTAATTTTTCAGGATTCACAGATGAACAGAAAGTTCAAAAGAACAGCGTTTATTTGAAATAGAATCTTTTGTAACATTATAAATGTCTTAACTGTCACTTTTGATCACTTTAATGCATCCTTGATGAATAAAAGCATTAATTTCAGTTTTAAATCTTACTTACCCAAAACTTTTGAATGGTAGCATGTCATTTCACAAAAATAGTAATAATAATAAATGTTTCTAATAAATCAGCATATTAGAATGATTTCTGAAGATCATGTGACACTGAAGACTGGAGTAATGATGCTGGAAATACAGCTGCGCATCACAGAAATACATTACAGTTTAACACATAGTCACATAGAAAACAGCTGTTTTAGATTACAAAACTATTTCACAATTTTTACTGTATTTTTGATCAAATAAATGCAGCCTCGGTGAGCAGGAGAGACTTCTCCAGTGTTGTGAAAACAAACGAGTCGTACCTTCTCTCTGATAAGCTCAACCCAGCTCCGCACTGCAAACAACAGACAGAGAATGAGCTCTCTTTATTAATGCTGATGACAGATGAGATGATCATAAGCTGGTTCTCACCCAGGCCCTGGTTCCGCTGCACCCAGACGGGAGGAGGAGGGATCAGGCCATACGGCGGACTTCTGTGGGGTGCTATGGTGCTCTCTGTCAGGTCCTCTTCACTCTCCTCCTCCTCCTCAGAGTCCATCTCCTCGTCCTCTTCATCTTCATCGGGCTTCTCTGTAAGACCGAGACGTTCAGCTCGCAGTGCATCAGACACTACACACTCTTAAAAAGAAACGTGCTTAAAGGGGTCATCGGATGCCCATTTTCCACAAGTTGATATGATTCTTTAGGGTCTTAATGAAAAGTCTGTAACATAGTTTGGTTAAAATTTCTCAATGGTAGTGTAAAAAACACCTTTTTTACCCTTCACCTTTAGTTTTAAGAGTGTAGCACCGCTGCTGTAAAGGGAGACACTGCGGGCAAAAACACTGTTTTTCATGCACCTGTCAAGTTTGAGATTTTGGGATTTTTGGTTTTTCATCAAGTGTTTTTTCAGACTGTAGTGGAAAGAAAACATCCGAAAGACACTGTTAAGTGTTTCTTTTACAGCACTTTATCTATTTCAATGCAGAAAACGATTCTCTTACTTAGTATTTTTGTCTTGTTTTCTAGTATAAATATGTTGAATCAAGATGAATTTACTGAACACTCTTAAAAATAAAGCTGCTTCACGATGCCATAGAAGAACGTTTTTTTGTCTAAATGGTTCCATAAAGAACCTTTCTGTTTCACAAAAGCTTCTTTGAAGGTTCTTCAGATTATAAAAAGGTAAAAAAGAGACGGTTCTTTTATAGCATCGCTGTGAAAAACCTTTAAGCACCTTTATTTTTAAGAGTGTACAAGTAAAATGAATTAAGATATTGTGTCTTGTTTTCTGTAAAAAAATTAATAAATCAACATTCCTTAAAACAAGCAAAAATATCTGCCAATGAGGCAAGAAAAATAATCTTGTTTAGCTTTGAATTAAAATTATTTTCTTACTCCATTGGAAGATATTTTTGCTTGTTT